ATATTGGTCTTAAATTTTATTTAATTTGACATTAAAAAGTTTTAAAGAGTCTTAAATCGGACTTAAACTGTAGGAACCCTGATTCAGTTCCCACACAGCTTGTGACTGTTCTGGTAATTTAAACTCACAGTTTTCCAGAACTGAGCCACAAAAGGTCTAAAAGAGACGACAGTTCTGTGCAGAAGTTTTAAATCCCTCATTTCTCAGGATTTTAGCCCGGTGCGGTCCGTTTGCTCCTTCAGACAACACCAGTGTGTGAATGTGACCCATGTGTGACCCTTCAAGCACCGTGTTTATGAGACTTGCATGGCACTAACTGTGTAACCCGCCCCGCCCCGCCTTGTGCATGCTGTGTGCGAGTGTGAACCTTGTTGTTCTGACCCATCTGCAGAGCATGCGCTCATGTGTGGACGGCACCGCGCCGCGGCCCCCTCCCTGCTCCTGGCGCCGACCCAGGGCGGGCAGCGAGGGCCACTGCAGGGCCTCCGCCCCCATCAGCAGGCAGCTCAGCCACACGCTGCCGCACGCTGCTGTAAGTGCTGCACAAACACCAGCTTTACACACACACACACACACACACACACACACACAGTGCACGCTAACACAACCACACTAACATTTCTGAACCTCGCCTGTTCTCTGTGTCGCATCGCTTCTCAAACAATGTGTCAAATCCGTACTAATTCTGAGCTCATCTAAACACTTTTAGTTTTGTCCTCTTTTATTTGTAGATAATAAAATAATAAAATCATATTTCTATGCTGTGGTCATCGCTCTTTTCGTAGCGACTCCAYCTGTTGACAGACGGGTCCAGTTGTGCTTCTTGTTTGTTTGATGAAGTCCAAAAGTTTTCCTCGTGTTTTAATCCCGTTTTATTACGTACCAGCATGTTTCTGTATGTTCACAGAATCATGCCGATCGCCAGCAGGTGGCTTCGGCTGCTGCTGTTTATTGTCCGATGGTCAGATTTTTTTTACATTTTACATTTGTTACAGCTCTGTTTATAAGTACAAGTGAAACCTTGAACAGCCAGTTTGTCCTAAACCTCCCGGTGCACCTGCTCATATCAGACTGCTCTGTCCAGCTCAAACCAGAGATGGGGACTCGTGACCCGGACTTAGACGAGTCACACTTAAGTCCCTACTGTTAGAGACTTAAAGTTTACTCGGACCCTAAAGACTTGAGACTTGACTCGTGGTTTGAGACTCGTGAACAATGCAAGTCTTTTCACTGCCCGGCTCACGACGCTCACTCCCTCAATACACATCTTTGCTCCGCCCCCACCTTGCCTGAGAAGGGGAGGGGCCAGCACCGTCCACTGTTAATGACGTGTACCCTACCTGACAAACAGAGCTTCAGCGAGCCTTGATTGAACACCATGACAAGCGACTGGCTAAATGTAAAGTGTTTGCAGAGTCCAAATCAGACTTTAGGTTTGTGACGACTTGTGCAGCTCTTTTACTTTAAGGATTCTGGTTCATCATCTTCACTGAGATGTTTTATGCATTTAAAATRTTTTTTCTGGTATTTTTATTGTAAAATCAGCAGCAGACTTGTTGAATTTGTTCTTTGTCAATGAAAATATATAATTACAGTATAATTACAGTACGCTTTTGTAAGATTACATGTGCAAAATACAGTTAACAATACTCTAAATGCCTGACTAACTTGATCTGTATTTTTTAAACAGTATTATGTATTAATAGTATTATTAAAACATAATACTATGTTTTAATATTTTATTAAAATATAATATTATAGAATATAATCCAGTAAAGTTAGAATACCTTTGATCAAACTGCCAGTTAAATGATACATGCAGCGAGACTTGGACTTGAGGTCAAGAGACTTGAGACTTGACTTGGACTTGCAAAAAAAAGACCTGCACACATCTCTGGCTCAAACTGCATGCACTCGTCTCCTAAAACAGGTCAAACATTTTGCATCTCTCTCTTCAGGAGGAGTTTGCAAAATCACTGGCACCCTCCAGGAACCAGCACTAGGGTGGATCCAAAAACCACACAGGAACTGGAAATGGAGACACGTTTGGCCGAGACAGAGTGCATTTAATATCATTTTTAAACTTTTTGTTTCTTGGTTGAGTTCAGAGTGAAATCCTCAGTAGATTTTATTACAAAGGTCAAACATTATGTTCAGTCTCCATCATCCCATTCAATCGTTTTCAGCGCCTCACTTCACTGKAAAGTAAATAAAAATAAACAAACTTTTCTCCTGCTGCTCTTGTTTTGATCAGCACGACTCTGAGGATGAGGAGGCCGACGTTAACGGGACTCTGAACCCACGTAGGAGCCCTCGGGACCAAAGCAGCTTCCAGACCTATGTCCCGGAGGACTTTGCAAACTTCGACATCTACAACGCCGCTCTGGAGAACCAGGAGTCGGGCTTCGGCTCAGACCCGGGGGGAAGTCGTCTCGCAGCAGGAGGAGGAGGCAGGGACAGAGAGGCGTGCCGAAGCCCGACGGCCAGCAGCTGCACCAGCGGCTACGTGTCCCACAGCGCCTCGGACGCCACACTGTCCGACGTGCCCCTCAGCGAGAGCTCCGAGCACCTGGGCTGCACCTGCAGGGAGGCCCACGAGCCCCCCGGCTGCCACCGGACCAACAACGTCACGGCAGGCGGCGACGACGCTCGGAACCAGCTCGTCCGATCCGCCTCCTCGCCCGTCAGGGTTCCTCGCTGCACGGAGAAGCAGCGCTCGTCTCCTCACAGCTGCGCTCTCAGCTCCAGCCAGGAGTTCACCGACTTTAAGGGGGCCGACGACGGCATCGGAGAGGGGGATTTAACGCCTTTTACTGAAGGGTGGGGACAGGAAGAGTGGAAACTCTCCACAACCCACCAGAAGAAAGCTGAAGACGTGGAACCGTGTGACGATCAGCTGTCCTCAGATTCTGGTGAAAAACAGCGTCCTGTTAGCATAGCTGCGTCCTGCACCAACACCTCCGCCATCACCAGCACCTCCCCGCCGGTCAGACCTTTCCCCACGGGCCCGGCTCAGAGAGCAGGAGGAGAACCTCCCATCCAGGAGCCGGCTCAGGGAGACCTGCCCCACGGGAGTCCCTGCCCCAGTCCCAACCCCAGCAGCGCCGAGCCCTCTGGGGACTCCAGCGGGGACGACGGCGCCCCCGTGGCTCAGCTCCCGGACTGGATGGCTCCTGGGGAGCAGGTGTGGGTGGGGAAGAGGAGGGGCACAGTCTACTATGTGGGAGGAGTGGAGTTTGCTAAGGGGATCTGGATCGGCGTGAAGCTGGATATGGCAGTGGGTGAGTCCTGCTTTCAAACTCATTTCATGTGGGGTTCTGTGGAGAGGTCGTGATGATCGACTCTTTTAAATGAAACCAGAGAGCGTTGACAGAGAGGAGAAGGTAGAAATGACTCAGCCTGGAACTGAAAATATGGATGGAGGACAACAGTTTTAGCTTGTTAGCTTGTCTCGCTAGCACCAAGCTAATACATATAAGGGTATACTGTATAGCGTCGGTGCTAGCACAAAAGCTAACAGGCTAAGCTGAGGTTCTTCTTCCATGAAGCAGCTCTGTTGTCCTCCATCCATATTTTCAGTTCCAGGCTGAGTCATTTCTACCTTCTCCTCTCTGTCAACGCTCTCTGGTTTCATTTAAAAGAGTCGATCATCAGATATTGTCCAAGATTAACCTTCAGGGTGGATATAGCTCGCTAGCAGCCTCGCACTGAGGACCTATCCATGTCATCATTTACCCAGAATGCTTTGCATGTAAATAAAATGGCCCTGTCCGTGTAATATATTTTTAAACTTTTAGTTTAAAAATTATAAAAACTAAACATCCTACAGTATTTTTACAGTCTTTTTTTTACAGTTAAAGTAAATGTTTATCAAATAAAGTCTAATGTTACAACTAATCATGGATCCCTTTCAATATCTTAGTGAGCTGAGCTCTCACAATTCAGCTTTACTGAAATTGGAGTTAAGTTTGTACAGAGTGAAGGACTTTTAAAAATTAAAATAGTGTAAAAACCTTGTGCTCATTCAGAGCAGCTGGACTTGAATTTTTGATTAAATAGCTTTTTGTAATACTGACCTTTTTAGAAACATAACTGCTGTATTTTTGTCTTCAACTAATGTTGCAACATGTTCTGTTTGTAAACGAGAGGCTTCCTCACTTCAGCGGTTACTTAAGACGAGGCGTGGATGCTCTCAGAGCCAAACACTTGTGACTGGATTACCCAACATGCAGCACTCTGTCAGCACAGTCCTCAGAATACAGCTCARCTTTATTTGTAAAGTCTTTTCCGACACAAGTGTTGCTCAATGTGTTTACAACATTTATAATAGGATATGTTTGTTTTGTGCRTCTACACGTTTTAAATGGAGAACTCGTTAAATCCGTTTTGTCTGACCCTGCTGTAGGTAAACACAACGGGACCGTCCAGGGCAGAGTGTACTTCCGCTGCCCCCCGGGACACGGCGTGTTTGTGAAGCCGTCCCGGCTCWGCAGAGGACCACCATCGATGGACACAGAACCTCAGACTGTGATCAGATAGGACCCAAAGATCGGCTTTTATTTTGTTTTCCTGTGGAGCAGCAGAGACCCCGACGTGGTGTTTGGGATTCTGACCACTCAAAATGTCTCTGATCTGATTTCTTCTGTTGGTTTGGTTGCTTTTTGAAAGCAGATCTCACCTGTGCATTTAAATGAAGAACTCTGTAGTTATTGTTCACTGAAGAAAAAAAAATCACTATGCACATATCTGAGTTTTMTATACAGTCGTATTTTTGTAGACATAACTTTTAACTGGGAATGAAGCATCAAACCCTTATGTTTTCTTACATTTCTTTTTGAAGATTATATATAATATTTTTGTATGACTGTGCGTACCGCTCTCTGAGGTTCATAATGAAGTGATCTGAGGTTTGAAGATTAAGAATGTACTACTGTTAATAAACATTGATATTTACATCAATATGTCAGGGCTAACCAAAGAACTACGGTTCCATATCTGCTGTTGTGACTGTTATGCTATTTTCTCTGGTATGTGGAAGTATTCGCTATAAACCGATGTATCTAGGAACACGTGCCATATCTCTAGGAGGAATGCCACGTAACTTAAAAGCAGGACAAATCTGCCAAACCTGAAGGCTGTTTTCAGTGTTTGCAGGTATATATATATTTATATATAGGGGTGCAACAATACAGTACTTTAGGTTCAATACACACTTGTATGGAACAATACAGATTTTTTAAATATATTTTATCAGCTTGTCTTCTGAAGATGCTCTGTGTTGAAGGATCAGTGGATCTGTGTTCGACTACTCCACCTAGGCTGCATTGTCGAGTACAGATCCACTGAGAAACTTGCTGTTTCAGCAACATTTCATTTAAAAACAGGACAAATGTTCATAATTAATTTTGATAAATTACAAGTTAAAAAGGGCATGGACATTTCTCTTTTTTGTATCAAAAAAATATATATTGAACCATGAAACTAAAGTATTGAATCGAACCAAATCATGAATTTTCTGTATCGTTGCACTCCTATATAT